ACGATGATCTTAACACTGTGGAAAGATTTGAAGGAAGGGATAATTTTGGGGAAGTATCTGAGATGTTTGGAGGGAACTTCACAAAACTTTTTGAAAGCTTCAAGAGAACTTTAGAGAACTTCAGGGATGTTCAGACGCAACTGAAGAAAGGATCCGAGAGAACTTCAGGCAAGTTCGGAGGTAACTTTATTTAATTTTCGGAAGCTTTCAGGACGTTTTGAGAAAATTTCACAAAACTTCCAGGAGGACTACCGCAAAGTTCCGAGGGAACTTCAGAAAAGCACCGAAGGAACATCAGGAATAAACCGATGCAAATTTAGGTAATTCCCGAGACAATATCAGGACAATTTTAAGCGAACTTAAGGAAAGTTCCGAGGGAAATTCAGGAAAGTTTCAAGGGAACTTCAGGAGAGTTTCGAGGGAACTTCAGGAAAGTTTCGAGGGAACTTCAGGAGAGTTCCAAGGAAACTTCAGGAGAGTTCCAAGGAAACTTCAGGAGAGTTCCGAGGGAACTTCAGGAGAGTTCCGAGTGATCTTCAGGAAAGTTCCGAGGGAACTTCAGGAAAGTTCCGAGGGAACTTCAGGAAAGTTCCGAGGGAACTTCAGGAAAGTTCCAAGGGAACTTCAGGAAAGTTTCGAGGGAACTTCAGGAGAGTTCCAAGGGAACTTCAGGAGAGTTCCGAGGGAACTTCAGAAAAGTTCCGAGTGAACTTCAGAAAAGTTCCGAGTGAACTTCAGGAAAGTTTCGAGGGAACTTCAGGAAAGTTCCGAGGGAACTTCAGGATAGTTCCAAGGGAACTTCAGAAAAGTTTCGAGGGAACTTCAGGAGAGTTCCGAGTGAACTTCAGCAATGCTAAGGGAGGTTTAGGAACGTATACAGCAATTTCATAGAAAAAAGTGGATTTTAGACTTTCGTAACAAATTGTAATTTTGATCCTTATCGAAAAATATTAAACATGTATTTTTTTATTCCGCGATTGATGGACCCTTCCGTGTCAAGGTATTTTATAAAAAAGATATACAGCCAACTCTCCACAACTCGGTGTTCACTAACTCGATGTCCACTAACTCGATATCGAGTTACAGAACCATAGTAAAAATGAATTTCATGGCTACTGTGATAGCAATTTTGTAAGGGATTGTTATTCTACAACTCGATAATCCTATAACTCGATGGGAGTTCTGGCCACACTGCCTTCGTGATCGGTTGATGTCTTAAGTGCGTCCGGTAATTTGTTCTTTTTCGAGTGATTTATACGGCTTTAAATATGAAATGTATTGTCAAGTGTTAGTTTGCAGTATTAGAATTCATAGGATGTAGAAATTATTTTTGAGAAAAGCCATAATTTCTCGATCGGTGGTCCTAATTTGTGTCGCGAATTAGTACAATCTTTCGTCCACCATAATGTTTTTTTTCGATCGGTTGCTTGGTTTTTTCACCGGCCGGGGCGCGTTGTAGTGTATGTGAAATGTGTTCTTTTCTCTGTTTCTCCCCCTTTAATTTTACCCGCAAGAGGAGGTGCGCTATGATGAGAAAAATCTCATTTCGTCGTCCGTCGCGGAATTCGTGTCAGCTGGTGCGAGAAGAGCGTGGTGAAAGAAGAGAGAGAAGCAAGTTGGAAGATCGCGCGCGTATAGCATGCTGCTCTGCTGGATCTTGTTTTTCAGCCAGCAGCAGCATTGGCTTTGTGAATGGATAATCCTCAGAAAATTTGAGTGAGAAAAAGCATCGGGAACGGACGGGATGACGGAAAAAAATAAAGAAGAAAAGGCTGTGGGTGTAGTGTGGATCGTTGCTATCAAGCAGAGCTTGGAAGTAAGCGATCGGTTCTATTTGAATTTGGTGTTTCTGGCGGTTTGTGCGGCTAGAATCGGCGGGAGGAAAATTTAATATAATTATTGTGAGGCTATTAGTAGTGTTGGTTGATGTGTAGAAAGAGCTTTTGGAGCTAACTATTGTGTCTGAATTGGAAAGATTTCGTGTGTTTAAGTTTCGATTTCACTATCGTGATTGTGTTTGGTCATGTTTGATAGTTTATTGTAGCTTAGAATCGACCCAAGAAATGTAACGGTGGAGCTGGTACTTGACCGCGTGGATCTATTATTAGGTTTTTGCAAAATGCATTACTTTGTGCACATAGTGGAAATATGTTTAGATGTGGTTGTTTAGAGATGACTAGAGAAAGATAAGCATCAGGATGTATTGATTTGGTGAGTATGTTCCAGTTGAAGATTGTTCTTACACATTTCTCGATTGCATTTTCGAGGGGACGTGTCTGCTTTTGTGGGCAGTGCGTTTGGTTGTCGGTTTGGTGTGTTGTGGCGCCGCCATCAGGTAGAGGAAAATTTCTCCTATCTGATGGTGGTGTTGGCATGCGTGGGCGGGATGCTGGTTGCGCCGGATTGACGATGGGATGCATTGTTTGCGGGAGTGGATGCGTCCCTTCGGGGGAGTATTCGAGATTTGTGTATGTTCATCGTTCATCGTTTCATTTGTCAGAGTGATGACCACGGTCGCATGATGCATGTTCCTCGGCTTTTTACGGTTAGGTGTATACGAATAATTCACTATGATTTTATTTCCATCTTGATATAGTTTGAGTTTGAATACATCCTAGGTCCTATTATATTATTATTAAATATTCATTGATAAATATTTACAACAGGGTCAAAACACAACTGGAAGAAGCAACGTAACATCATTTGATTTTCTCTAATGTATGTTTAACGTTTATATGACAGTGAAATTAACCATTTAATTTTTCCTTTCCAGGATAGAAAGTTACATAACTTATTGATATATTTATTTGTATTTTTGTAAATACTTATTCAATCAAATTCTGAATATGAGTGATGAGGAAGTTTATTGTGTTCGCGAACCCTCCGTTTAGGCTGGACGCATTGATTTAAATCTTTAAGTTTCAGCTCTTCGACATTTTTAGATTAATATTATAATGATTCACTATTTTCAGCCTTCGTTCAGGAAAATACAAAAAACATTGGAATGCATGATTACAATTGCATAAAAACTGGAGACTGTCCAAATAACCTCGACTTTTCTGACTATTGATGCATTATGAAAGTTTACCAATATTTTAAAAAAGCATTCCATATTGCGTTAATAAATTCCATGGTGCATAATAAAGTGTTTGTTTCAATTCCAATAAAATATCAGAAGTTGAAATCAGTTGAATGTATTGAGGTTAACTGAAATCGAGCTTTTTGTATTTTGTAATACTTGTTTATTTAACATTATTTTATATATTGCATGACTAGTAAATTAGTTTTATTTCACATTTTTAAAATCTCATTATATCACTATATAACTATCATTATATAACTATAATTTTCATTTCTAGAAAAAAGTTGTCCTGTAGATCCTGAAGGACCAGAAGGTGTATCAAATAGCTTATCATTGTTATTTACTTTTTATTTTATTATAATATAATATGAATTTGGCCGGTTGCTTTTGGTGTAGCTCCACTTGGTTATTTGGCTGAGATCATTCCTTTTTATTTATTTATACAGTAACCCCTCCATATCGTTTAAACATCAATTCAGCTTATCGTTTACCAAAACGAACCTTGCTGCAAACCCTACCCTCTTACCCAACATCCCAGTGACTCCTCGTGGAAGTGCAGAGGATTTCTCGGCTTCCATCAAAGCGAGTGTCACGTCAACACATTCCTACCCATTCCTTTCTTGACCTGCGTTCAGGCGCGGCTGGCGCTGGTATTGCCTAATTTGAGATCACCAGTTTTTACACATTGAGGATGATTGCTAGTCCCAAGCATCGTCTATTGGTTCTCTGTGTAATTACAGCTGATCTGGCAATAACAGAGTAGCAACCGTGGGCGGTCAATCATGGTCATGGTGGTCATGGTCAACTCGATAATCCTATAACTCGATGGTCCCTTCAATATCGAGTTGTAGAGAGTCCACTGTAGAGCCATTTCCCCTATTATAAATATTGAAGACATACTTTTTTGAAATATGGGAAATGGATGTAATGTCGGCCTAAACGCGCCTAATTTGGGCCCACACATAAATTCAATAATCGACTAAATTTTCAATAGCGACCAAAAATATCCATTAATACCGTCCCAATGACGTGTTCATCTAGATAAAATTGATAAATAACAGATTTTTAGCGATAGACCCAATCTTAGATTCATAGGCAGATCCCCTACATCAGTTTAAAATACTTTTTTTTTAAATTTTTTGTTTAAAATTACTAGAAAAAAAAATATATACCGTGTATATTTTACCCAAAAAGAGTTTCCTTTTCGAAATAACTTTGTCATTTCGATCAGAAGTGTCGTTTTCGTGGTAAAATTTATTGAAAAATGTCAAAGATGTTATTTTGAAAAAAAAAACAGCTTTTAAATGGCAGAATTTCGGCAAAAAAGTGAATAATTACCCATAACTCAAAACTATGCAAAGTTTCATGCAAATCGGAGAAGGTTAAGTAAGAAATTTTATTTTTGTATCCTATTTGGCCTGGAACTTGTGATATTTAACAGTGGTAGGCAATATCTATATAATGCTAAATCTTAATATTTTGTTTCCAACATTTTGCGTGTTTATTTAAGCAATTTTGTAAGATTGATTTTGGTCAGTAAAGTTTGAGTTTTTTATGTGAAAAGTTCGAATTGTTGTTCTTTTTCTGGTTTTAATGTAATTTATTGTTTTATTAGTTACGATAGCCTGTTAGTATAAACTTGTATCAGTGACTGAAATCCTGCCTTCTACTACATAATCGAGCATTCTGATTTGCATCAGTTTCTCCTGATTAATTTGAATTAGAAAGATTACAATCGTTCAGATGATGTAACAGATAACGATGAAATTCCATCGCGAGTATTGCAGATTATGGGTTTAAGCAAAGCGTGAAAGAACTGTTGCTACGAAATTCACACCCTGGAATTAGGGATTAGTTCAACGCTGTAATCCTCCCTTCTACTACATCTACTAAGCATACTATACTACGATCCACTTACCTCCAGCATTACGCAGCATATGTGGTAGATACACTGTGTGATGGCGTCCGCCGAACCGCTCAACGTGACGGCACGTTCCGTCGAATTTGGCAACATTTCACTAGCGACCTGAATCGAGCACCCTGTAATTTCACGAATTTCCTTTATCTTGGAGCCACCCTTTCCTGTTGGATTGAAAAACAAAACAGCTGTTAGAATGTTGCACCTGCAAGCAAGGTGGAGAAACTTACCGATCAAAGAACCACACTGACTAGCTGGTACGATTAAGCGGATTGGAATCTGTGTTTTACCCTGTGCATTAGTATTGTCTTGGAACTGTGAACACCACTGTTTGAAAAGAGAAGGGGGTGAAAGAAGGCGAAAAAGACAGCAGAAAGGGTTAGAAAATCAAGCCATGAACGTTCACATGGTGCACAAGCATGCAGAACAAGAGCTTACCTCTTCGAACTTCTTTGTGATCAGTGTAAAGGCTTTGTAGATAGCACTTCTGGAACCGGACACCGTAACGATTCGCTCCGGACAGGATCCATCTGATATGTTGATTTTCGCGCCGGACTATGGAGGAAGAGAGTGGGGAAAATGGTAGAAAACACGTTAGAAAACAATCTTCGTCGCATTAGATAGGATAGATATAATGGAAACTGTTCGTCTTCGTTTGCAGGATGGGTAAAATGTTTCGAAGGGAATTCAGGAAAGTTTTGCGAGATTAGTGGCAACCCTTTCGAAACCATAGGGCTCGATTTTAGAGAAAATTTGTATAGAACGTGATCCGAATTTTAACGATTCTAATCATAAAAACGGACATGCCTGGAAAATAAAAAAAAAAACCTTTCATACTTAAAGGAATAAAAAATCTCCCATCAAAATCAAACAGATTTCCCGCACAACAGACCCTGAAACATCCAACATAACGAAAAGTCAAACGAAAATCACTTGTTTAAACAGAAAAGTTTTCTCGTTTTGACTTTCTTCCGTTCTGGTACAAAAGATCTTTTTTCAGCTCCCTCGCAGTCACTTTTAACCAACAGAATGTTTATCTGGTTGGCCCGGAAGAAAGTAACCAAGAAAGGAAGGGAACAAACTTTTGAGTCACTCTTTATACACGTAATAATTTTCCGACATTTTTATTCTGTTTTAATGCGCGGTTCGGTTCGACTTTCAATGTTTTTTTTTTTTTTTTTTTTCGGGGGAAAAAGTCAACTTTAGTCCCCACTAGCAGTCGAGCGCGAAGTATTGCATTTACCGCGGAGTTTCCGGACTGTGTGGTCGCACACCGCAAGTTTGGGGGAAAGGACTTTGTAATGTAATAAAGAGGTAGTTTGCAAAAGTGTTCAACATCGGCACACACCGCGTAGGGACAATGGAACGTGGGTAAAAGAAACTCCAGGGGAACAACTTTTGGAGCCAATAACTTGTGTTTCTCCCTGGCCAGAGAGTATTACGTGGGGGATTGTTTTTTTTAATATTTAAGTAGGGGTAAGTTTGAGACTATTAAGATGCACTTTGTTCAAAGCTTACATTTTGATGCTGTAATGTACTTTGAAGGTTGCAAACAGGTTATAAGATGCGTTTGCGAGGATATTTACATTTTGAAATTGAGGCTTGGAGTTGGACATACACAAGTTAAATGTAAAATGTTATTATTATATTAAATATTAAATGAATGAAAAGAATTAACGCCACCTGTTTGGTTTGCAAGTGTCAGTGAATTTTCATTTTGAAATTTCCGAATATTCAGAAGAAATTAATGCTTTAATTTTTTTTCAAAATGTCATAAACGAACATGGTTGAAAATTTGCGATAATATTTGTGGTTAAATTATCTTCAATAGCAAAATTACAGATATCATTGTTCAAAGCTTAAAGTATAATTCAACAAAATGGCTCGCTTAATATATTAAGAAATAAACCATTATTATTTACGACGTGTTTAATCATTAAACATCTGTTCAACAGTCATCTAACAATTATGGGTCAGCTAATAATAGTTATGAAACTGTCAGTCCAGCGTGTAAGCCAACTGGACATTATCCTCAAATGTGGACTAATGGTATGAAATATATTAGGTACCAAGTTAAAGTTTTTATAAACAAATTCATAATTAAATCCATCACTCTTTACAATTAGGTCTAATGACTCATTCAGCTCAATAACGTTCTACCTAGTGACGTTACATATATTCCATGACTCAGTTGCTCAGTAGGTTCTCGGTATTTGTAAACATAAGAGGTCTCAACAAGTTTAGAAAAGTGCTGCAAATTGATTTTTCTTAGTACCGTAAAAAGGGGTATCTTTGATAATAGAATATAATGATTAAATTTACTCTGTGCGCTTTTCCGAATTGGAAACATTGGTTACATTTTGTTGCGTAGGGTATTGCCCTTGATATAGAGTTTTTATATAGTATGTGTTACATATTTTCCAAACATATTAAAAACAATTCTTGATCGCCTGTTTGAAAAGAAACTCAAACAACTAAATTGAATATCTTGGCTGACAAACGGTTTCAGTCAACATAAGGGAAATGGATGTAATGTCGGCCTAAATGCTCCTAATTTGGGCCCATACATAAATTCAGCAGTCGACTAAATTTTCAATAGCGACCAAAAATATCCATTAGCACCGTCCAATGACGCGTTCATCTAGTTAAAATTGATAAATAGCAGATTTTAAGCGATGGGCCCAATCTTAGATCCATAGGCCAACATTAGAGCCATTTCCCCTATAATACATTTTTCCTTGATTTGTTTTCCGTACTAAGTACCAATGCTACCGACGCCAGGGAGGCAGATCCCACACCTGGACCCTACCTATCAACCCATCAACTGACCGGGGATCAACGGCTTTACTTACCTCAGAAAATCCCGACGGCGCCAACTGGGATTGAACCCAGGCCCTTTGGAGTAAGAGGCATTCACGCTTACCGGCGCCGCTAACATGTTATACATATTCTTAAAGGAAAATCTCTGCTGAATCGACTGTTGGTGATCTAATTGGCCGGAAACTTTTGCCTGCCGAGATAGAGGGCCGGGATCAACCCGAGTTCCCGGTAAAATAGGAAATGTTGATATCTACCGACATAGGTTTAGGTATAATACTGGAAATTTGATAATGCTAAGTATATATGGTGTAACGACACCATATACAGGGTGATTCACAGTAACTGTCACTGCATGGTCTTGAATTTTTATCAAGGTCTAAAATCAGTGGCGTCGCCTTAACCTCAATCCACCTGCTCTCAAAACATTGACAGATCTCAAAATATTGCTTGAAATGGTTGCATATCGGTAAAACTAGAAAATTTTGTGCATTTTGCAATAGATCTTAATACAAATATTACTAGATTGCATTTTTTAAGTGTGTGCACAGGTAAAAAGTTAGGTTACGCTACGCCACTGTATACAATCTTATTTTTTTCAAAGACAGACCAAACTATATTTTTCCCGATTTTTCATCGAAATTCACGGGTTTATCCTGTTTTTTTTGGAATCCCACCTGTGTCCTTAGATTGTTTTCGAAAGCGTATGCGTCTCTAACCGTTGATATGTGTTTGTCTATTTGTTAATTAATTTATTTGATAAGGCTTAATCGAATTAACTTTACAGAGCCGAGGATTCTTGTTTACTATAAAAATATCTTAAAATTATATTGAAGAGGTACAGCACAATAAACACTTTATCTTCCGCTATCCAATAAGCCTCCTCCATCAGATCGGGAGCTGCTTCCAGTGCACTGGTGGTTTCATTGAATGGCAGTTTCGCCAACGGGGGACAGAGCGCTTCCATTGCAGCAATGAACGCAACACGTGGTCAGCACTCACACACTCATCACGAAACGGTTGCTTTCCAAAGTCGACGACGCGTTGACCGAAGAACAATGAGGAGGACCACACAATGGTTGCTGCCGAGTAAACAGACGATCGCGTGACACACATCGAGAGTGGCCGGTAAGCATCCTATATCAATAAATCGTCTTCAATGAAACGAACATCTGCTTCAAGAATGTGGGTTTCATTCCTTATCCGGTTCTATTAGAGATTCTCTGAATCGGCATTTCCAGATCCCAGATAGAACGCTTTAGATGCCAGCTACACACTTAGAAAAAATCACCGACTTCGGTAATTCATTTACCGAATTCTCAACAGCTGAACGGTAGGTAATGTTTTCGGTAATCGAGAACATTACCGAAAAATCTGTAAACTGGATCAACAAAATTAGTTGTCAAATTTACCGAACGATCGGTAACTTTTACCGATGTGCATTGCTTGATTTGTAGTCGACTTTACCGGAAAACTGTAATTTTGAGGACGATATGCAAATCAAAAATTACCGAGAGATTTGTAATTTTCTAAAAAGGTAACCGACTCAACTGTAATTTTCTTTAATATTGTTTCAAGGTGGCGGTCACTGCAACCCATGCAAAAATTTGGCTGTTGTCGTGATCAATAAGTTAGTGTTGCAAATTGCACCACCAATGAACAAAACCAAGTTTTTGTCGGAAGGATTCGGCACTACACTGAAAACAAGGAAGCTTTAGAAGAATATTCCAAATGCTGTTTTCAGATCGTCGCCAACGGGAATGGAACTTAGACCGACAGAAAAAACAAGCAACAACATCGGCCATCTGTAATCGGTATTTATTTAGATAACAAAAATTAATTATTTACGGAAAATATCTACGATTCACTCATTTTGGTGTTGAATAACAGCTTCCATAATTTCACCTTCTTATTTTTCACAAGCACGAACGCTTTTAAAGTCGATCGAAAATAACAATATGGTGGATTTGACGTTTACCTAGACCATTATCGAACTCAGTAATGGAACGCTTTGTTAACCGAAAATTCAGTAAAATATTTCACCGAAGTCAGTGATGAGGCTGATTACAGACCTGCCGGTAAAAATGGTTACCGTTTTCGGTAAATTAAAATGAAATTACCGAAATTCGGTCATTTCATTTACAGTTTTCAGCAATAAAGCGAGAAAATACCGAAACATCTGTAATTTTTAGCATTACCGATCTAAGACGGTATTTTTTTTTTACCGAACTCAGGGTCTCTGTTTAAGTGTGTAGGATTCTTGAGATTCAAAGCAACTCTTTAGATCCAAGTAGAGAGCCTCCGGATCCCGCGTGGTATCCAGAAAAGCCTAATAGGGATTTCAAAGTATCGTAACTAGGATTGGTAAAATCTCGACTGAAATACGGATAATTCTTATTGCAACCGATTGATGCTAGAGAATGCTAACTAGAATGCTTGATCCCAACTAGAATCTACACAATTCTGAAAGATCCCGAAATTGATATCTCTGCAATCAAATTAATTCATAGCATTTGCTTTTTGCGGCAGACGATGCGATTGTGTCTATCTCATAGTGGTCGTGTAAGAGAAAACGGGAAAGTTGCCAGTCTTATTGATATGTTAAGACAAAGTCAATCCAGACGATCCCACCTGGAATTTAGATAATTATTGTGGGGGTTCAGATAGTCCCTACGGGGATACAAAGCATCCCGCCTTCTACCTGTTTGGCGAAATCTAACTAAGATTAAAAGAATCCC